TCATTTCAGATTCAAATCCCTTGAACATGATATTTTTCTCACCTTCAAATTTATCAAAGATTTCATTTTTCATCTCTTCTAAATCTTTGGCTCGATCCCTTTCTCTTTGCATTTCATTCATGATTTCGCGGTGTTCAGCTTTGTGTTTTATAATTCGCTCTCTTCTGTCAACCTCAAAATCTTCCATTTTTTGCTTTCCTTTCTCAAGGCTTTTGAGTAGACGACTATTCTTTCCTTTCAGATCTTCAACTCGTCTTTTCTCGATGTTCAATGCTCTGGTCATCTGTACTGTTGATTGGCTTGGTCCTGATGCTTTCCGGGATTTATATAACTTCTGGTAATTTTTCTTTAATGCTCTGAATTCATCATCAACTTTTTCTTTATCTTCTCTCAACATTGCACATTGTGATGAATGAAAGTCAATGTCAACACCCAACATAGCTTTATTTTGTCTCATTTGCTCTAATTCTTTCGACCAGCCTTCTCTTTCTGCTTCAAACTCAGCTCTCAAGATTTCAATCTCTGATGGAACCACCTTAATGCGATCTTCCATAGAGATATCCTCATTTTGATCCGGTAGAGGAATATTTTCATTTTTCCTGACAGATCTCCATTCCTCATAATCAGGAGTTAGCATTTCTTTTGTTGCTTTAGCTCGGATACAAAAAGTTGTTTTCCAAGCTGTAAAGGCTTCCATGATATTTCTTTTATAATTTTTGCTGTGGAATGATAACTCCGATGAATGTAATCCAGCGGTGACAGGTACAAATTGACGACCTTCATACTGTCTTATGACCAGAAGTGGTGCATATCCAATTCCTCCCTATAATCCGAGCAGCATTATCCAGTTGTAATCACCGCATTTGTAAAAGAATTCTCTTTGGATTTGCCATGGGGCTCGCCAAACAATGTCATTGCTTTGCAGATTTTGAAAGGCATTAATCCACATATCTTTATTAATTTCTTTCGGCCATTCTTGCTCCAGAAATTCTTTTAATGGTGAATAATCCGTATTAAAGCGTCGGATACAAAGTCATCCTACAGACTGTCTCCTCCTTGTCTTTGTAAGTCCTCAGCCCACTGTCTTACCTCTGAGTTTAGAATTATTTGATTTGAACACTTTTTATCCATGGATGAAGGCTTTCCAATGAGACAATTAACACGAGGATCAATGCCTTTTATCCTGTATGATGCTATGCAAACAAAAGAAATAAAGAACATACAAAAAGAAATGAATTAGTTTACATAATAAAGAAATTTAATAATAATATCTACCTAAATATCTTTATTTAAACATTCTTTTTTATAATTTAAATAATTTAAATTTACATGTAATTTAATCAGTAAGAAAATAAATAAATAAATTAAAAGGAAAGTTAGAATTCATTTCTCCTGTGTGTACACCTATTTTGGACAAAATTTCGGCATGGCTTCGGATCGGAAGAGTTTCTAGGGTTTATTATATGCAAGGTTTCAGATCTAAGAATAAAAGTTCCCGAATTGTCCTTGTTAGTGCCCCCTTGGGTTGCTAGCCCTCAATCCTAGTCCATCACAGACTAAAGTGGATCGAGTTCAATTCGAGGGGATACATTTCTCTATGCCTGACACGGAGAATAAATTCTCACGAAGACATAGAGCATATGAACCCCGAAAGTTACTTGCTAGGTCTGACACGGAGAATAAATTCTCACGAAGACGTCGCTTTCACTCCCACTTAAAAGGGACAAACTCAATTATAGAGCTTTATGTTATGCAATGCAAGTGTTGTGTGTGAGGAGAAATGTTCAAACCTCTGACAGAAAAAATAAATAATGAAATAAAATACTTGCAAATAAAATGAAATATTAATAAGAAAATATATAAATGATATGAAAATAATAAGTATATAAAAAATTGAAAAGAAAGAATTATAAATCAAATATATTAATTTTTAATTTATAATTAAATAGAGACAATTTATAATTGATTTTAAAAGTTTGACTTTTCCCCAGCGGAGTCGCCAAGCTGTCGTAACCGGTTTTCGTCCGGGCACAAAATATTTATTTAGCGGGAAAATTGATGTGAATAAATGGTTTTGAAAATAATTTGGGAGTCGCCATCGGCCTTTTGGGTCAGGTAGGTCGAATACCTAAAAAAAGTATCTTTTAAAAGAGTTTTTAAGAAAACATCAGTTAAAAGATAAACTGATCTGCGTTTTAACCAAAAATTCGTTCTTTTTAATAGTAAAAAGGGATTCGTGGTCGGTTACGTTTAGGGAATGATTAGCACCCCTACAACGCCCAAAATTGGTACTTTTTAATTATAAATTGTCTCTATTATTAAAAATTTAAAAATTCAAAGATATATTTAATTCATAATTCTATTATTTCAAATAATTTTAAGAAAATATATTAATATACATAAATAAGATATTTACTTATTTAGAAATATCAGAAAAGGGCTTCTAGGTACCTTAAGACAGCTCTTTTCTTCGATATTAATAAATATCAATATAATTTTTTTATAATAATTTTTAATTTTAAAATACCAGAATAGGACATCCAGTTGTATTAAGACTGCCCTTTTCTTTGATATTGAAAAATAAATAAATAAATATTCAAATAATTTATGAAAAAAATTATAAATTATAAATTATTATTTATTATATATATATTTATATGACTATATAATAATAATAAAAATAATATTTAAATATATAAACAAGTAAAATTAAAACAATAAAAATACAATTAGAACTATATATTTAAAGGCATTAAAATAAATGCTAATATTTAAAATTAGTGACTAAATTATAATAAAATTAAAATTAAATACCTAATTCATAATTATTTAAAATTTCAGCGATTAAACATGCTATTTTCCTTATTTATTAATTTGGTGACTAATTTAAAACTATATAAAATTCGAATATCATATTAAAATAAATTAAAAATATATACTCGGGATTAAAATATTAATTATTAAACTTAAAGGACTAAATATGATATTTATCCTAAATATATTATTTTAATATAAAGGACTAAAATAAATAAAACTAAAATTAAAGAACCAAATTAAAAGGATTATAAATTGATTTAGTGACTAAAATGTAAAGATTACAAGTTAGGATGACTGGGAAAAGGATTTAACTTTTATTTAATTACACAAATAGCCCTCCCCGAAACGGCGTCGTTTGGGGAGGGCTATTTAAGTCCAAATCCGGCTGGCCCGAAGGGCCAGCATTCATTTCTTTTTTTTGTCATTCTCTCTCTAACTGAGAGAGAATGGAAAAGCTCTCCCCTCTCTCTAGCTTCCCTCATCGGAGGGAAGCCGGTCACCGGGCGGCAGCTGTCTGCCGCCGTGATTCTCACCGCCGGCCACCGCATCCGGTGGCCGGAAAAAATTATTTTTACACCACTATGTAGATCGGACCGTCCTAATGACGGTTCCGGTGTTCCTTTCTTTTAAAAGGCTCCCAATCGGAGCAAATCTAAGAAAGTACCTTCGATTTTCGAAGGTTTTGGTGACGTTTGAAGAGGTCCGGTGGTCGTGGCTTCCTCGGTAAGCTTCTCTCCTTCCTTTTTTTTGTTGCTGGTTGTTGTGAGTTGATCTCTATTTTTGTATCTTTGCTCTCGGTTTTGTCTCTCTGGGGTCTGTTGGGGTTTTTTCTTTTTTTGCAGATTGGGTGATGGCTATCGGACCGGGTAAAAGAGTACCCTTCGGTGAGTCACTGGACTCCCAGTGGTGACTCACCTTAGGGCCATAACGTGGACGGGTGGCGTTGGAACTTCTGGAGCCTTTGGTTGGGGCGTGGCAGCGGCTGGAGCGACGTGGAGCGGCGGCAACTGGCGTAGTCCCTAGGGTATCATAACCCTAGGGTTTCATCTGGCGCATCAGTGGACCGTTGGATCTCATCAGATCCAACGGTGGATGGTTGAGGCGGCTAGGGTTAGATCAAACCCTAATCTGTTAGGGTTTAGTTGGGCCATTTGTAATTGGGCCAGATAATATGGGCATGTTTGTAATTATTATTTTTTTAATAATAATAATATATATATAATAATTATAATAATAATAATTATAATTATAATTATAATAATAATAAAATGGATAAAAAAAATTTAGTATCTTCAACTCTCTTGATATCCATGCTAAAGTGCGTGATTACACTATTAGTGATGGGACTTGGAATTTTACTCGCATGAGTCAGACCCTTCAACTCATTGCTGCGGTCCCTCCTCCTTGCGATAACGTGGGGGAAAACCAACCTACCTGGTGTTGGGATAACAAGGGAGTGTGCACCATGAAATCGGAGTTATGTGAACCCATAAACACAGCTGGGGGGAACGCAATCTGGTCTGGAATATAGCATGGGATTTTTATGGCCTCGAACGGATTAAACATTTTCTTTGGTTGGTCCTTCATAAATGTTTGATGACCAATGCTGAGCGAAACCGAAGGGGGCTGGTGGATGATAGTAAATGCCCGATATGTGGTACTCACGAAGAAACGATAATTCATGCTATCCGATACTGTAATTCGGCCCGAACGGTTTGGAATTCTCTTATCCCAAATGCTATTTCCATTGATTTTTCTCCTCTAACCTGGAGGTTTGGTTAAAACATAATCTGTCTACTAATGCTCGTCTTGACTGTCCAGAGTTCCACTGGAGGCATTTATTTGGGATTATAATCTGGCGATTGTGGAAACTGGGAAATGAGTTTGTTTTCCAAGGCCGAATTTGGTCCACACAGGAAATAATTAAATCTGCGATCTCATGGGCGAAGGTTTCACGTAATCACTCTTCTCTTAACCCTTGCAGGTCGAACCAAAGACGGACTCAAGTGGAGCGCTCCTCCCCATGGTGTCCTGAAGCTTAATACTGATGGCGCAGTTAATCATAGCACCATGGCTAGCTACTGCCAGTGGTGGGGTTCTCAGATAGTGAAGGTCGATGGAGGATCGGGTTTATACGCAACATTGGTAGATGCTCCGCCTTTCATGTCGAGCTTTGGGCAATCATGGACGTGCTTACTCTAGCTTGGGGAAGTGGTGCTAGAGGGTTTGAAGCTGAAACCGATAACAGCGAAGCTGTACGCATCCTCAAGGCCCCTTCCCAACCAAATGAGGTGGCCATTGTTCGAAGAATCCATGCACTTATGAGTCTGCAATGGGAAGTAAATTTATTCTATGTCGGCCGTGAAAGAAACTCTTTAACCGACTATCTTGCCAGCTTAGGTCGGTTTGAGAATCCAGGAATACACGTACTGACGAACCCTCCTCCTAGAGTGCATGAGTTTCTCGAAAAAGATTTGTTGACAAGAGTGTCTAGATAATTTCCTGCTTAGCAGAATCCTTGTAACAAAAAAACAAATATCCCAAGTTACATAAGATAGCCTTCTCCTTTGAGTTAATTGTATAAAAAGATATTTAAATTGTGATTTTTATTTTAAACTAATTTTAAAATTGAAAATATTTTATTTTAAATCTCAAAGCATCCTTATTATTTCAAAACCAAATATTTCTAACTGTTCTATTGGACTCATATTTGTTTTTGAATTAAAAAAAGAAAGCATCAAAACTAATTATTCCTATCCTGCATCGATAAGCCCTGGGGACTCTTCTTGAAGTAAAGAAACTACAGCCAGCGGTGAAGTCCGGTAAATATGCAGTCCGAAAGGTAAGGGACAAACTAGCCGTACCATGCTATCCGCCAGTCTATTCCTTTCCCGAGGTTCGTAGCTGAATTTCAAATTCCACTCCTTTCCAACAAAGGCCATAATATGTTGTGTCATCGAAGAAATATTTTGTCTCCGCACATCAACGACAATCGCGTCAACAGCTTGTTTACTATCCGACTCCACACACACCGAGTATAAACCCATGTTCCAAGCAAGTGAGAGTCCCTCGTATATTCCCCACAATTCTGCATCTAGAGTCGAGCATTTTCCAATCGTTTTAGAGAAGCCTCGGATCCACGCCCCTCATGGTCTCAGAATACTCCACAAACAGCGAAACCATCATCGTTTCGTCGCGCCCCATCCATATTAACTTTGAAACCACCATTCGCCGGACATTGCCAAGGAATATCGCGAGGCACTGTTACTCTACGATCATTAGTCACTAAAAGCCGAGAGGTCTGCGCATTAATAGTTTCTGCTTTAAGGCGTATACTCTGTAAAAGAATACTCTCATCGACCACATTATTTTCATCAAACAAAAGACGATTCCGACGACACCAAAGACATCAAAGGATTGAGCCAAATAAAAGGTCCCAATCGATAGAGATTGTGGGAAAATAATCCTGTTGTGTAATGTTCTTTTCAATCCAACTTTGGAGAGGTAATGTATTAAACTCCCCAAGCCGACTTGGTTTGACCACGCTTTGCCAAATAGCCATTGCAACAATGCAATCTCTGAAAATATGCAAATTGGATTTAACTGTCGCACCACAGATTGAACACCTCGTCTCCATAGTCATCTGTCGTAACCGGTTTTCGTCCGGGCACGAAATATTTATTTTAGCAGGAAAAGTGATGTGGATAAATGGTTTTTAAAATAATTTGGGAGTCGCCATCGGCCTTTTGGGTCAGGTAGGTCGAATACCTAAAAATCATCATTTAAAAGAGTTTTTAAGAAAACATCGATTAAAAGATAAACTGATCTGCGTTTTAACCAAAAATTCGTTCTTTTTAATAATAAAAAGGGATTCATGGTCGGTTACGTTTAGGGAAGGATTAGCACCCCTACAACGCCCAAAATTGGTACTTTTTAATTATAAATTGTCTCTATTATTAGAAATTTAAAAATTCAAAATATATTTAATTTATAATCCTATTATTTCAAAATTATGATTATAAAAAAAATATATTAATTTATATATATTTATAAATAAAATATTTATTTATTTAGAAATACCAGAAAAGGACTTCTAGGTACCTTAAGACAGCTCTTTTCTTCGATATTAAAAAATAAATAAATAATTAAAACAATTAATATATAATTTATAAAATATGATATTTATTTATTTAAAAATATTAGAAAATGGACATCCAGTTGTTTTAAGACTGCAATTTCTTAATATTGAAAAATAAATATTAAAACAGGATTAAAACAAGTTAAAAGTAATTAAATAAGATTTTAATAAATAAAATAATTATTATAAATATATATTTATGGCTAAATAATAATAATAATAATAGTAATAATAATTAAAAGTAAACATATAAAATTAACATATAACTAAACAATGAACAAAATTAAAACTATATATTTAAAATAAAAAAATAAATAAAAATTGAAATTAGTGACTAAATTATAACTTAATAGAATTAAATACATAAATCATAATTATTTAAAATTTCAGTGGCTAAATATGTTATTCTACCTTTTGTTAATTTAGTGACTAGATTAAAATTATATCAAATTCGTATATTAAATTAAAATAAGTTTAAAACATGTATTCGGGATTAAAATAAAATTAATTAGAATTAAAGGACTAAATCGGTTATTTGTCTAAAATATTTATGTCAGTGACTAAATTATAAAGAAATAACATTAAGAGATCAAATTAAAAAGTTCATAATTTGATTTCAGTGACTATAATAAAAAATTACAAAGCTACTGGGCTGCGGAAAGGGTTTGTCCTTTAATTAATTACAGACATACCCCTCCCCAAAACGACGTCGTTCGGGGAGGGGTATTTAAGTCCCAAACCCCACGGCCTTAAGGCCATTTCTCTCATTTCTCTCTTTCACTTTCTCTCTCTAAATGAGAGAGTTATAAAACTCTCTCGCTTCTCTCTAAAACAGAGAGAATCGGCACCGGCCGGCAGCCGTTCGCTGGTGTTTGACCCCGCCACCGGCCACCGCATCCGGTGGCCAGAAAAAATTTTTCTTACACCAAAATACAGATCGGACCATCCTATTGATGGTTCCAATGATCGTTTCTCTTAAAAAACTCCCGATCGGAGCAAATCTACGAAAATACCTTCGGGTTTTCGTAGGACTTTGGTGATGTTTAGAGGCTCGTGTGAACTCCAGCGATGGCGGGGCTTTGTTGGTAAGTATCCCTCGTATTTTCCTTGCTATTATGGTTGTTGAGTTGCTCTCTGTATCTTCTCTTCTCTTTTTTTTTTACTTTCTGTTTTTCTCTTGGGTTCTGTCGTCTTTTTTTGTTTGCAGGTGGTCGATGGCTTTTATACCCATCGACGGTGTGGCTCTCGGACCGGTTAATAAAGTGGTTGTTTAGTGAGTCACCGGATTTCCAGTGGTGACTCACTGTAGAGCAACGTGTGCGGCTGGAAGGGCTCTAAGCCTTTGGTGAACATCGTGGCAGCAGCTGAAACGGAGTGAACTGGCGGCAAAAGCAACGACGGCCGCGTGGCCCTAGGGTGATGATACCCTAGGGTTTTGTCTGGAGCCATCTGGGCCGTTGGATCAAATCGGATCCAACAGTGGAAAGAGAGAGGTAGCTGGATGAAGATGTTGAAACCCTAGTTGGGTTTAGGGTTTCTATTGGGCTGTTGTAACTAGGCCGGTTTATTGTTGGGTCTGTAAATGGGCCGGTCCAGTCTGATTTGGGCCTGTAATAATATTTATTAATAAAATAATAATAATAATAATAATAATAATAATAAATATAATAATAATATAAATAATATAAATAATATTCAAATGAAAAAAATGAGTATCTTCAGCTGCCCCTCTTTGCTTATTCTTGTGTTAACAAGAATAGAGCAAAGACGAAAAGATAATAAGTTTTTTTTTTCATTTGACTTCACTTGATTATGATGGGAATGTTGAAATAATTCTTCTTTGGGATTAGCTCTTCTCATTATGAACTTTTCCACTGGGGATGACAACTCATCTCCTTTTGTGATGTAATCTAGCAAAGGTTGAATAAGCTCTTCTCATTGTGAACTTCTTCTTCTTCAGATGAATTCTTCTCATTATGAATTCCTTCTGGAAATATTGATGACGATATATCTCTTTCTGTGATAGAGTCATGCAAAAGGTCGAACAAGCTCTTCTCATTATGAACTTCTTCTTCCTTCTTCATATGAATTATGAACTTTCTCTGGAAAAGTTGATCCATCAAGTGACGAATTTAAGCAAAAGGTTGAACAAATTCTTCTCATTATGAATTTCTTCTTTCTTCTTCAGATGAGTTCTTCTCATTATAAACTCTAACTGGCACTGTTGATCCACCGGGTGATGAATTTAAGCAAAAAGTTGAACAAATTCTTCTCATTATGAATTTCTTCTTTCTTCTTCAGATGAGTTCTTCTCATTATGAACTCTAACTGGCACTGCTGATCCACCGGGTGATGAATTTAAGCAAAAAGTTGAACAAGTTCTTCTCATTATGAACTTCTTCTTTCTTCTTCAGATGAGTTCTTCTCATTATGAACTTTCTCTGGAAAAGCTGATCCATCAAGTGATGGATTTGAGCAAAAAGTTGAACAAGTTCTTCTCATTATGAATTTTTTTCTTCCTTCTTCAGATGAGTTCTTCTCATTATGAACTTTCTCTGGAAAAGCTGATCCATCAAGTGATGGATTTGAGCAAAAGGTTGAACAAGCTCTTCTCATTATGAACTTCTTCTTCCTTCTTCAGATGAGTTCTTCTCATTATGAACTTTCTCTGGAAAAAGCTAATCCATCAAGTGATGGATTTGAGCAAAAGGTTGAACAAGTTCTTCTTATTATGAATTTCTTCTTCAGATGAGTTCTTCTCATTATAAACTTTCTCTGGAAAAGCTGATCCATCAAGTGATGGATTTGAGCAAAAGGTTGAACAAGCTCTTCTCATTATGAACTTCTTCTTCCTTCTTCAGATGAGTTCTTCTCATTATGAACTTTCTCTGGAAAAAGCTGATCCATCAAGTGATGGATTTGAGCAAAAGGTTGAACAAGTTCTTCTTATTATGAATTTATTCTTCCTTCTTCAGATGAGTTCTTCTCATTATGAACTTTTTCTGGAAAAGTTGATCCATCAAGTGATGGATTTGAATCTTTGCTAAAATCTTTGAAATTTCTGTCAACATTTAACATGGATAAAATGAATGGAAATGCACATATTTTTGCAAATGCCTAAATATGATGCATGAATATTAAGTTCATTTTTATTTGATTTCAAATTGGTGAACTCGGTCTTTCTTCAATTGTGTAGAAATCCAATAAATCTTTCCTCTTCGAATGGAGAATCTATCATTTTTGAAGAGTGTAGATGTAGATATGCCTGAATTTTTGCATGATGTCACAAAACCACTTGAGAATAAAACTCAATAGTCTAGGCTCTTGAAAAGCTCGCACTCATGCAACATGTTGATTCTG